GGGAGGAGGGCGGCGAGCCCCGGCGGGGGCTCGGCTCCCCCCCCCCCCCCGCCGCCAGAGCGCCGGGGGGGACTTGGCTCTCCCCCCCGGCGGCAGGGCAGCGAGCCCCGGCTGGGGCTCGGCTCCCCCCCCGCGGCCAGAGCGCCGGGGGCAGGGCAGCGAGCCCCGGCTGGGGCTTGGCTCTTCCACCCCCGGCGGCCAGAGCGCCGCACCGCCGCCCCCCTCCAGGTGCCGCCCCAAGCACCAGCTTGGGTGCCTGGTGCCTGGAGCCGGCCCTGGTATGGGGTCAGAATCAGGCTCAAAGAACTTAAGGCAGCTCCACACAATTGGCAGTCTTAAGGGTTGAGCCACCTTTAGCTTTAAAGCCGTAAGCAGGTAAGGGCAACCTAAAGCCAAAGTGATTCGGCATGCACCCTGCCTTCCAAGTAACGCTACCTTCGGGGCCCTGTGAAAATGAAAATGTTTTACACACACACAGGCACATTACACTCCACCTTTAAACATATATAGCTTTAAAGCTATTGAACTGACTTGCCTGAAATGTGGTTCACTTCCTTTTTTAGAGAGGACTAAAAAACAACTTTGAGTTCCTCACTTGAGCCATTTTGAGTTTGAGGGTGCAAAAATTTCTATTGGATTATATGGGATTGTATACGAATCTTTTGGGCCAGCTCCCTTAACTTCAAAACAAATGAACAAATTCAGCTCCAACTTAAAAAAAAAATCAACTTTGAGTTGACAGCATGGGAAATTGAGGCCCAAAGGAATATGTCTGTGAAAGTTACAAGGACATGAACAAGAGGAGTTAAAATGACAACGGGAACTCGGTCTTAAAACATTCACTACCAACTATATAATCTCCTTTTTTTAGATCTACACCTGTAAAAATGAGCTTGTCTCCTGTGAGGTGCAAATCCTGAAAAATGGATTTTCCAGGGACTGTATGGTGCTAAAGTCAAGATCATATTCAGTTAAAAGGTGTATTTACCCAATGGACTGTAATGGCTTCAATGAACAGAGTGGCTGAGAGCCAAGAAGAGCATTTCAGACTTACCTATGGATTTTCTGGCTTTTGTCACAGTTTTTGGTCACAATTTTAACATTATTTCAGTATTTTCTGGTAACATGTTAACTCAAAAGCTGAGTGAAAACACAGTAGCCCAAATACTCATCTACAGCCAAGGAGAGTGCAGTATAGCTGTGGAGGGGGAGGGGTGCAAAAGGGGCCTCCTTTGCACTCCCCAAGTTCTCAGCCTGTTTCATGCCAGGCCAATCCCTACCTGTAAATTAGAGCTACCTAAAGGCTACTCTAAATTACACTGGATGCCAGTGTCCCCAACGGGTCAGTAAAGCAGTGAGGAGGGATTGGTAGGATATAGAGAAGCCCTGGCTACCACCATAATGAACATGCAAACATAAGAACGGCCATACTGGGTCAGACCAATGGTCCATCTAGACCAATATCCTATCTTCTGACAGTGGCCAATGCCAGAGGCTTCAAAGTGAATGAACAGAACAGGGCAATCATCGAATGATCCATCCCCTGTCATCCACTCCCAGCTTCTGGCAGTCAAAGGCTAGTGATACCCAGAGCATGGGATGGCATCCCTAACCATCTTGGCTAATAGCCATTGATGGATCTCTCCTCCATGAACTTATTTAATTCTTTTTTGAACTGTGTTATAGTTTTGGCCTTCACAACATCCCCTGGCAATGAGTTCCATAGGTTGACTGTGTGTTGTGTGAAGAAGTACTTCCTTTTGTTTGTTTTAAACCTGCTGCCCTTCATTTTCATTGGGTGACCCGTGGTTCTTGTGAAACAGTAAATATTACTTCCTTATTCACTTTCTCCACGCCATCCATGATTTTATATACCTCTATCATATCCCCCCTTAATCGTCTCTTTTCCAAGCTCAAAAGTCGCTCCTCATATGGAAGCTGTTCCACACCCTTAATCATTTTTATTGCCTTTCTCTGTACCATTTCCAATTCTAATACATCTTTTTTGAGATGGTGCAAACAGAACTACACACAGTATTCAAGGTGTGGGCATACCATGGATTTTTATAGTGGCATTATGATATTTTCTATCATATTATCTATCCCTTTCATAATGATTCCTAACATTCTGTTAGCTTTTTTGACTGTTGCTGTATATTGAGCATATGTTTTCAGAGAACTATCTACAATGACTCCAAAATCTTTTTTAAGTGGTAACAGCTAATTTAGATCCCATCATTTTGTGCGTGTAGTTGGGATTCTGTTTTCCAATGCACATTACTTTGCATTTATCAACAGAGCCCTGCAAATCTGTGGATATCCGCAGACTATGTTTGCGGATCGCAGATCAGATTCGGATCCAAATGCGCAGGGCTCTGTTTATCAACACTGAATTTCATCTGCCATTTTGTTGCCCAGTCACCCAGTTTTGTGAGATTCCTTTGTAACTCTTCACAGTCATCTTTGGACTTAACTATCTTGAGTAATTTTGTATCATCTGCAAATTTTGCCACCCCATTGTTTACCCCTTTTTCCAGATCATTTATGAATATACTGAACAGCCCTGGTCCCAATACAGATCCTTGGGGGACCCCGCTATTTACCTCTCTCAACTGTGAGACCTGACCATTTATTCCTACTCTTTATTTCCTACCTTCTGAACAGTTACTGATCCATGAGAGGACCTTCCCTCCTATCCCAAGATTGCTTACATTGCTTAAGAGCCTTCGGTGAGGAATATTGTCAAAGGCTTTTTGAAAGTCCAATCACCTGGTACAGAAGCTGATTTAAGTGGTGAAAAGTTACATACAACACGTATTAGTCCTGCAATTTCATATCTGAGTTCCTTCAGAAGGAAGATGATGATGGCATAAGAACTGCCATGCTGACTCTAAGTCACAATCCCCTACACCAGGGGTGCCCAACCTGAGCCTGAGAAGGAGCCAGAATTTACCAGTGTAAATTGCCAAAGAACCACAGTAATACATCAGCAGCCCCCCCATCAGCTTCCCCAGCGCCTTCCACCCACCGGCAGCCTCGCTGATCAGCGCCTCCCCCTCCCTCCCTGCACCTCCTGATCAGCTGTTTCGTGGTGTGCAGGAGGCTCTGGAGGATGGGGGGAGGAGTGAGGGCATAGAAGGCTCAGGGGAGGGGGCAGGAAGGGGTGGAGTGTGGGCAGGGCCTGTGGCAGAGCCAGGGGTTGAGCAGTGAGCACCCCCCGGCACATTGGAAAGTTGGCGCCTGTAGCTCCAGCCCAGGCGTTGGTGCCTATACAAGGAGCCGCATATTCACTTCTGAAGAGCCGCATGTGGCTCCGGAGCCACAGGTTGGCCACCCCTGCCCTACACTATAGTGATCCTCACATAGCCAGAGACACTGCTGTCAGCACATAACCTGCTTTGGGTTCAGCATCAAGTGACTGCACAGCATGGGAAGATCTGGGCCAAAACCTTTGGAAAATTCACTACTATACTACAGTGTTTAATTAAGACATTTTCCTATTTCTGTTTGTTTAACTGCATTTCATGGAAGCGGTATCAGATTCTACAAATCAAATCAGTTTCTATTGACAAGGTAACCATTGATTCTGCTTGGTAGCAGTAGATTAGGCACAGGCATAATGGCCAGGAAATCTCTTTGTAGCTCTAGCAACTGTCACCCACTATTACTTTACAGACTGTTTGCATGTATCTGATAAAGAATAAGATTGGCTGAAACTGACAGATATATTCTGAATTCTGTCATGCTAGAAATCACAAATGTGTGTTTCATTTCTCACTACTCTATCAGGTAACACCAGTGCTGTTCACCTATACATCTGGATTTACTCTGGATTTATATCTGTGGGGAAGAGAACAGAATTTGCACCTACAGGCTTTTGCTATAACACAACTACCAAATTCATTTTGATAAGGTACAAGGATCTGAGCCTACAACACCACACAGGATTGGGCCCTCAAAGATCCAATATGATCAAATATCAACAGTCAGTAGAATTGAAAGGCTAATAATTTTAAACAGAAACATGCAATTAACCATGTATGTTTAAATACATTTTAGAGATGCTGTAAAGAATGAAAATGCCAGTTTTTGTCGCAGTGCTAGGAACTTGAAAACTAAATGACTTCAGCAAATGCTCAGAGGAATTTTAATTTGAATCACAGAATCATAGAACTGGAAGGGACCTTAAGAGGAGATTCTACACCAGGGGCGGGCAAACTTTTTGGCCTGAGGGCCAGATCGGGTTTCCGAAATTGTATGGAGGGTTGGTTAGGGGAGGCTGTGCCTCCCCAAACAGTCAGGCATGGCCCAGCCCCCGTCCCCTATACGACCCCCCCTGCTTCTCGCCCCCTGATGGCCCCCCCCATTCCCTGCCCCCCTGGGACCCCTGCCCCATCCACCCCCTGTCCCCTGACCGCCCCCCGCCGCCCCATCCAACCCTTCCTCTCATTCCTGACTGCCCCCTAGGAACCCCTGCCCCATCCAACCACCCCTTCTCCCTGACCGCCCCCGGCACCCCTACCCCTGACTGCCCCCCGCCGCCCCATCCAACCCTCCTCTCCTTCCTGACTGCCCCCCGGGGACCCCTGCCCCCATTCAACCCCCCTGTTCCCCGCCCTCTGACTGCCCCTGACCCCTATCCACACCCCTGATCACCACGCCTAACTCCCCTGCCCTCTATCCAACTCCCATGCTCCCTGCCCCCTTACCGCGCTGCCTGGAGCACCGGTGGCTGGCGGTGCTACAGCCGCACCACCCAGAGCACAAGGACAGTCAGCCATGCTGCCTGGCTGGAGCCAGCCATGCCACCGCGCAGCACAGAGCACGGGGGCAGGCTGTGGCTCTGTTGCTGCGCTGCCCGGCCCGGCAAGAGCTCGCAGTCCCACCACCCAGAGTATTGCGCCAGCGGCGCAGTGAGCTGAGGCTGCGGGGGAGGGGGAACAGCAGGGGAGGGGCCGGGGGCGAGCCTCCCGGGTCAGGAGCTCAGGGGCCGGGCAGGAGGGTCCCATGGGCCAGATGTGGCCCGCAGGCCGTAGTATGCCCACCTCTGGTCTACAACCTCCTAGGCAATTTATTCCAGTGCTTCACCACCCTGACGGTTGGGAAGTTTTTCCTAATGTCCAACCTAAACTGCCCTTGCTGCAATTTAAGCCCATTGCTTCTTCTCCTATCCTCAGAGGTTAAGAAAAACAATTTTTCTTCCTTCTCCTTGTAACAAGCTTTTACATACTTTAAAACTGTTATGTCTCCTCTCAGTCTTCTCTTTTCCAGACTAAACAAACCCAATTTTTTCACTCTTGCCTCATAGGTCATGTTTTCTAGACCTTTAATCATTTTTGTTGCTCTTCTCTGGACTCTCTCCAATTTGTCCACATCCTTCCTGAAATGTAGCGCCCAGAACTGGACACAATACTCCAGTTGAGGCCTAATCAGCATAGAATAAAGCAGAAGAATTACTTCTCGTGTCTTGCTTACAACACTCCTGCTAATACATCCCAGAATGATGTTTGCTTTTTTTGCAACAGTGTTACACTGTTGACTCATATTTAGCTTGTGGTCCACTATGGCCCCCCAGATCCCTTTCCGCAGTACTCCTTTCTAGGCAGTCATTTCCCATTTTGTATGTGTGCAACTGATTGTTCCTTCCTAAATGGAGTACTTTGCATTTGTCTTTATTGAATTTCATCCTATTTACTTCAGACCATTTCTCCAGATCATTTTGAATGTTAATCCTAACCTCCAAAGCACTTGCAACCCCTCCCAGTTTGGTATCATCTGCAAACTTTATAAGTGTACTCTCTATATCATTATCTAAATCATTGATGAAGATCTTGAACAGAACCGGACCCAGAACCGATCCATGCAGGACCCCACTAGTTATGCCCTTCCAGCCTGACTGAACCACTGATAACTACTCTCTGGGAACGGTTTTCCAACCAATTATGCACCCACCTTATAGAAGCTCCATCAGGTTTGCAGGCAAGCATAGCACTGAAGAAGACTTTTAATTAGTTATTGCTTTTGAAAGCAACTATGGAGCAGTTGAAAATGACCAAAGACAAAGCTAGATACAGGAAATTTTGGGCATGTTCCTGAAAGATGCCAATCATTTTCCACTGATTTCAATGGGAGTTGAAATTACTCAGCAGGTCTCAGGATCATGACTTTACCAGTAGCATGTGTTTATGCCCAGAAGAGGTGCCTAGAATTCTAATGTGACCTTGGGACAGCAAGTTGGAGGGGCCATGCTGCCAAAATGGTCACAACAGCATGTGCAGTAACAAAAAACAATAAACTCCCAAAAAAAAAAAAATCACAATTCAGATCTGTGTGTGTGTGGGCATGCACATATGTGTGGGGGAAAAAGCAGCAGTTGTTGCTTAGGGTTTAAAAACTGAAGATTCATAGCTGCAGCAACATATTTGCACAAAATATCCATCTGCCCCACTGCTCTACATTTTGAAGATGTCTGCAAAACTCAGAAATTAAATACATGAACTAGGAAAATAGGTTGGCTTGATGTTATCACTGCTGCTTCATGTGCTGTAATTAGGTTTCCTTACCATTTTCTTTCACCCCATTAATCAGGATAGTTTCATGGTCTTCTGAGGCACAATCCTTATCTTGTTGGTCATCCATCAATTTAACCTCTTATTGTTCATTCCATGCCCCGCTGCATCTGGCCAACCTGTACATTTCCAAAAACATAATTACAGTCATTAAAATTCCTGAAATAAGCTCACAGAACTGTGAATAAAAGAAAAAAGCATTACACACACCTACTAACCCTGTTTAGGAGGACAAACACTATTTATTATAACAAAGTAGCTATCATATTTTCACTCTTCTACTCCAAAGCTCCCCCAGTCCAATGTATTTCAATGGAGTTAAAAAGAGATGTCTCCATTTTCTTCCCAAAGAATAACAAGCATCAGTAACACAATGTCTTTGCATTTGTTGAGGAATTTTTCACTACCATCAAGAATTTTACTTCAGTGCAAATCCAAATTTCAGTGGCTCCCCGGAGAGGATAACTTGGTTAAAATGAGACTCCCAGTTTATGGACACCGACACCATTCCCAGTACCTGTGCTGTGGCTGCCAAAATGTTTCATTCAGTGGGCCAGGGAGCCCAGTAAAAGATCTATTGACATATTTTAATCAAAGAGGTTCCCCATATTTTTAGTAAAATTTCCCAGTCATAAACTATGCATCATTTGGAGTATTTGCATGTAACTTTAGGAAGATTAACTTTTAAGCATGACAGATGCTCTACATTTTTCAGTTACAGGCTGCTTAATAATGTCGCCTGCCTGTTAAACATGCGTTCAGGAGATACACAGTCTAAAGTAGTAAGTGGGCCAGCTTGACTTCTTTGGAATGGGCCGCTTGCTGTGTGAGGAATCTTTGGTGGGAGGAGTACTGCAGTTTGGTAAGGAGCTTAAACACATCATAGACTGACATTAAACAAATCCATTCTGTCCATCTTTTGTGGTTTTCCGGGTGGAAGAAATGTGCAATGATCATTCATTTCAAATAACCACAGATTAGGGTTGCCAACTTTCTAATCGCACAAAACCGAACACTCCTGTCCCACCCCTTTCCTGAGGCTCCATCTCCTGTCCCACCCCTTCCCTGAAGCCCCGCCACCACTCACTACATTCCCCCTCCCTCAGTGGCTTGCTCTCCCCCACCCCCACTTTCACTGGGCTGGGGCAGGGGTTTGGGGTGCAGGAGGGGTATGGGCTCTGGGCTGGGGATGAGGCATTTGGGGTGCAGGAGGGGGCTCTGGGTTTGGGGCAGGGGCTCAGGGATGGGGCAGGGGGTTGGGGTGCGGGCTTACCTCGGGCAGCTCCCAATCAGCGGCGCAGCAAGGGTAAGGCAGGCTCCCTGCCTGTCCTGGCTCTGCACAGTGACCCGGAAGCGGCCAGCAGGTCCGGCTCCTAGGTGGAGATGCGCAAGTGGCTCTGCCCGCGGCTCTCACCTGCAGGCACCACTCCCACAGCTCCCATTGGCCATGGTTCCCAGCCAATGGGAGTGCCGAGCTGGTGCTTGGGGCGGGGGCAGCGTGCAGAGCCCCGTGAACCCCCTGCCTAGGAGCCAGACCTGCTGGCCGCTTCCGGGGCGCAGCGCGGTGCCAGGACAGGTAGGAACTGGCTGCTTCCGGGGTGCAGCGCGGTGCCAGGACAGGTAGGAACTAGCCTTCCTTAGACCCACAGCACCACTGACTGGACTTTTAACTGGACTGGAGCTGCCAGGATCCCTTTTCAACTGGGTGTTGCAGTCCAAAACCGGACACCAGGCAACCCTACCACAGGTGAGTACAGTTGGATGACTGCACATTCGGCTATCCACACCTCACATATTTGAACTGCTTGCTTGCTCATTTCAAAGCACCACAAATATGTATGTGCGTGTGGATGATCTCACATTCTGATCAGGTATTTGGAATGCTGCACACTGTAATAAATACCCCTATTTATTTGAATCTGCCATCATCTCTGGTGTGTAGTGGTGATTCTCTAACTTGCACAGGGGCCAGTCAGCACAGGATGGAGAAGCTGAAGCCAGCTCCCTGACAGCTAACCTCCACCCCTGTCTGAGTACATTCGTCATTCACACTGCACACCACATTTCTCCAGAAAGAAAACACCGATCCAGACACAAAGCACTGGCAAGCTTGGACAGCATGATTCCAGGCCTTTTTTAAAAAGACCCCACTACCCCCACTGGGATTTAATTTGGGTGAGTACACGAACCACCATAAGAATGTTTTCTTAAAACATTCCCACACCAAAATTGGGAACGTTTCCCCACACATTTGTTTCCTGCAGTTTTATTCTATATCTTCCCATTGGCCCTACTAATGAGCTGTATGTAAGCTGCAGGCCATTGAACTGAGGAGTAAGATAACAATGCAACATCTGAAACTGATTCTCCTATTTAAACTTTCCATCAGTTGTTCTCCAAATCAGATCATCAAAAAAATCCAAAATGTGCTTTTTTTCTGTTTTGTAAACCAAGGGGATGCTCAACAAGGCTTATGCAGACTGTTATTCCTGGAGCGGAGGTAGGTCTCTCCAAAGACAGAATGTGGACAGACATGAAAGCAATATTCCTGAGGTCAAGTTCTGTTGGACAGGCTCAGTGTTACTGTCTCACAAAGAATGTTCTCTAAACAGTATTAATCTCTCACAGCCTTTCTCCGTCCTATAGGCAATAATGATAGTGCAATGTATATAGAATCTTATTGTGTAGAAAAATCCTTTGATCAGTTTCCTTCAAGGAAGCACTTGTTCCTTTTCCTATAAACTTAACAGAAAGCATGGCTAAAATCTACATTTACTTATTTTGCAGGGGCTGAAATCAAACCTAGGGCAGAGGAAGGAACACCCCCAAATTATAAGATTAAAATATCTGGACTACTTTCTACATTTGTCACCTACCAGGTAATCTGAAGGCCTAAACTGCTAGCTGTGTTATCAGTTACTATACATGTGAAGCCTGATTCTGCTCCCACTAGTATTAGTTTTACACTGGAAAACTCCATTGACTTCAACTGAAATGCTACTGAGTTACGCATGTGTGAGAGCAGAATTTGTCCACTTGCTTAATTCCTCGTGAAGGTGCCACAGTGTATTTTGCTTCTCCTCTACTAGACTCAGTGAGGCACTTGAGTGTCCTTGACAGATATACACATGGAGAGGACCTTCTCGGACTGGGAGGGTCAGCCACTTCTTTGCTCCAAGGCTCCAGTGTCCCAGTAGGGGAAATGGGCAGGCTAGTGGCAGGAGCAGGCATGCCAGGGTGAGGCAAAGGAAGCACTTCTTTCCCAGCCAGCTCTTGGTCCCACAGTGATTCACCAGAAACATATCAGATCGCCTGGGATTGTGTGATCTTGTCTGTGGAAACCCCAGTTCTGCTCGGAGTCCTTGGCTGATGATTGGGCAGGAGGCTGCCCAGTGCTAGAGCTGGTTCAGGGGCAAAGGGCCTCTGCACAGATGGCCCTGATCTCTTGTAGATCTTTGGGGATTCTCCAGGTTCACTGCAGGGCCCTGTGGCCTGTTCCACAAAGGGCAAAACCTGCTCCCTCAAATGACTGACTGGGGACAAATAATGCAATGGGATATTTGGAGAGATTTCCCCCTCCTCCCGCCGAGGCCCCTCCAGCAGGTTTTACAATAGGAGGAGGGGTGATCTGGCTCACAGTATTTTCAGGCACAGCAGTGCTGGTCTCGGGGATGTCTTGCAAGTGCGTACAGTGGATGAAGATAAAGAAAACCAATAGCCATGTCATCTAGCGTCTGGCTGCTGATATATATGTCCACAGCTCGATGCGGATCTCCTGACTCAACTTTCCCATGTGCCAGCATTATCTTCTGAGGCCAAATACATCTCCAAGCATGGAAAAATCCATCCTGGAAAATAAATATTCTACTGTGGGTATGAACTGCCTGGAAAATGGAAACTGATCTATAGCTATCAAGTCAGCTTTATAAATAGAGATAAGATACACATACCTATATACACACAGAGGCCAATATTAGGTAGGTAGATGATGGGGTGGTGATAGCTCCATAGTTAAGGCTGCAACAGGGTTTTAGTTTAAAGCTGAATATACGGAGGGTCAGTAGCCCTCAGATGAGACCCAGCAAAGCAATTCCAATATTCAAATACCTATTGAAGTGTCCATTGCTTGTGTTTGTTGTGGATGGCAAGGGTTGCAAGAGAGACAGTAGTCAAAATTGAGGGAAATCTTTTTTACGGAGAGGAGGAGAAAAAAACACCACCATGGGAGATCCGATTTTCTGCATCAGAGCTGTAAATAAGTGCAAGTGTTGGAGTGAGGTTTGTATGTGCAGTTAGGTCTTAGAGAAAAGCTCCAGAGAAATTAATTACATGTCAAAGCTTCTGACGCCTCTGACAGGACTTAGAAGAATTAGGATACTTTTGAATGAAAACATATACTTTAAAAAACACACCAAGTAAATGTCTCTAAGATATTTATGCACTGTAAAGTAACAGAGCAAGAGAGCCCAGGTTTCCCCACAGTAAAAACAGACACAGCACACTCTGTGTTCTCATTAATAACAAAGTCTTCCCTCTTCTTGGAGTGCTGTATTCATTAGGCCTTTCACAGAATAAAAAAACATGAATTGCAAAGCCCTCTCTAGCTAGGGCTCTAGGGCAGGTGCTTCTTCCGCAGGCATCAAACTGTAGCAAGTGAAAAAAGAAACAAAGCAGTCCAAAATATAGATACATTTCCTTCCCAGCTATGAGGGCTGGGGTCCTTCTCGTAGACTTTCTGACCTCCCATTTCCCTTCCTAAGCAAAGTCAGCGTATTGTATACCTCCTGCTAGGTTAGCTGAAAGGTAGCAAGGGCCACCTGCCAAGCAAATCCAACTTCAAACCCCTTTGCTGGATCTGGAGATGTTCCCGTGGAAGATACAGGATACTGAATTCTCTTCAGAGAGCATCTTGGGGCAATCAGCTACCAACCCTGAACTCCGAAGTACCCTTGTACTCAAAGAACCAGTATACCCAGTCCCAGACACAGAAACTGAATGACCTTATTTTCCTTCTAATTTCTAAGGCTGTCATAATCATCCTTCAACTATTTCAAGTATTCTACTTGATCCTTGATATTTATAATAAATTGATATCTTGTGTGTAACTATATTTAATATT